TGACCTTGATCCCATACTGATGGTATACAACTTCGCAAGAAACTCAAAAAGATCCTGTACGACTTCAGAGCGAAAGATTATTCTCCCTGAAGTAGTTTCTTGTTTCTCAACTTATGTTATCTACTACTGTAATGCACGAAGTAGAGATTTTCTATGACGGAAACCAAATCCAAAAATAGCTTACTTACGTGGTTTCAATGTTAAACCGAGAACAGTAGCCATAACGGTAAGTGCAGCAAATACAACTACCATTAAGACAATCATCTTGAATTTTCGTAAGCTAAAGGAGAACAGAATATAGGACCCAGACAGCATTTGGCTCGTACACTCACCGATAAAAAGGCTGCTTTTCTTGTCTTTGACTTTTGCTAAATTTGTAGGATGGAGTGCTTCGAGTAGAACTCATCTCTTCTGATTCAAAACTCTATAAAGTTGTATACATACGAAAATGAATAAAACAAGATGTCATCCTGTTCGATACCTGTCCTGTCGGAATTTGTTGTGCCCGGGTACTAACTCGATTTATCCCGATTCTTGAAATTCGAATCGGACCATCGCTCAATACGCTCATCTCTATTTATCAATTGAAAAACGTATTTTAACACTTAATCATTTGAACTTCTTTAAGAGTTAACCCATGCAGTACTTACTGAAAGTTTGTGTGTTAACTATACAAGATAAGAGAAGTAAATCAGTTGATCAACGGTTTTAATTTATGTTTAATAACCAGCATTTTTCACACACAAAGTTTGCTTAGTGTTATTATAAATATAATTATCAAATCTTTTTTCTTAGTTGAAATGAATTCAGCAAATATACTATTATAATCAACATTTCAATATTTTCTCATTACCATATTCATTTATTGAAATGAAACCCAAATTCTTTTATTAAAAACTTAGAGGTTTCACTTCATAATTGAAAAACCTGTCGTATTATTATTATTGAATGCAAGAAAAGTGTGTAACCTCATAATACTAAGAGTACTTCTAAGAGTGTGACTTTTGTAAGGTATTGACTACTGTTTACATATGATCTGTCATATGAAACCTCATTGTTCCAATTCTGAAGTCTCGAAAATATTAACGGTATCGCTTGGACACTTAAGATTACGTAATGCATGTGCTTTTGAGGTTATACTATGCCAATAGAAGCTCTCAAGAAGTCCGAAACCATTTATAAGCAAGTCTTCACTTCGATCCAGTTTTGAAGAGAACACTTATTAAAAAGAAATTATATATTCGCATTAAATCCAGGCAGCTTTTACAAATTCTCTCTTAATCCTGTCTAAAAAACGATTCTTACAATCATTTTGCTAATGAGAAGATGTCATGAGGTCTCAGCTTTCGACTGGTAAAAACCGTATGTAGACAGACATCCTTCTTCCTACAGCTATTCAAAAAACATCCATTAGCATTTTATATCTTTGCATGATTTTGGTTTTTCGACATATCAGACATACAACGCTGTGTAGTATTGTGTAAAATTACAATGGTTTAATAATCAAAAACAAGATTTAACCGAAATACGATAAATGAGGATAAAATTAGTCGAATCGAAATTAATTTGATATACGCCAATAGCATAGTCAATTAGTATATCGAAAACATTAATATGAAAAGAAGTCCTTTGGAACATTACAAATAGATACCAGTATCATTCATTATTTGTTTAATTTAAATGTGGACACCGACTTGGCTTCTAATTAAACTTTGAGATTATAAGGCTCACTAGTCATTTCTGTTGTACGCCAATTGATCGATTTCATAACGTATCTAATTGATATGAAAAAATATTCGGATTATTTTCAATTTTCTTAACAATTCGAAACCGGTCATGTTTTGTACTTGGAGGTATATATTTTATACGGTTAGTTTATCTTATCAACCATAGCATAGGCCGAATGGACAGCGTCAATTAATAAAAGATGAAAATAGTGTATGGTTTATTAATGTAGACCGGTTTCGGATTTTTTGTGACTACAATACCAATATACTTTTGAAAAGTCAATATGAATATGAAGTTAGGTCAGACTTTTTATATTCTAAATAATTACTTTTTTCTTCGTACTAACTTTGTTTATTCCAAACGTCTCGATTGATAGTTCAATCTTCCTCAGTGGATAAAAACGTTAATTAAATTAATTAAAATTACATAAACAAAACAATTTAAATAGAAACTTTAACATAGGAATATTTTTCCCTTTTTTTATTTTTATATAATATATACAGTTGATAATAAAAAACTGTAGTTTGGCAAGCATCTTTAACATACTACACTGCATGCTACAGTATATTGAATGTCACCTTTATAGAGGAAAAGCATCGAAAGCTTCGTATTTTGCTTAAAATCAGTTTCAAAAAAGCGGAATTTATGCAGACATTCGAGATATCATGCTCTCTATTTTGTTCGTATGTAATTTAATTTTTTCGAACTTTATTATTGTCCTACAGTGAATAGTACCGCCTGTCTCAGGCAGTAGAGGATGAGAACGAGTCATGAAGTTACTTTTCTAGAACCCATGTGTCATCATAGACAAACGAAAAAAATTGTTCTCCTCTTAGATCAACATGTGATACGGATAAAATGTTTATACGAAACAAATAAGAACAACATCAGAATTCTTAGCATTTTTGTTATGAAGTTCTTACAAATCTCCTATCAAATTCTTATGAGACTTACGAAATTCGTGGCACTTTCGAGAGTTTTCTTATAAACGAATCTTCTGAGAGTGTGATAGGATTCTTACCTCGAGCTTATAGGATCCATTTAAGTTTTCAGTAAGATTCTCGTCTGATTCCTTTATAAGAACCGATGATTAGCTCATAGAGTACTTCGGGGTAATTAGAGACACTCTTCGAAATTTTCATTCCTTTTTTGCTATTTCTTGCCCGTTTTTGATCGGAAACCGGTCTACATTATTTTCATCTTTTAATGATTGACGCTGCCCATTCGGCTTATGCTATGGTTGATAAGATAAACTAACCGTATAAAATATACACCTTCAAGCAGGGACTTGAGTACGTGCCGGACATTGGGGGGGGGTGTAACGAAAGTTTTTTGTCCGAGATAGTGTAAACTTTATTTTAAATAATTACCTTATTACTTTTTTTTTTAAATTTTTGGAGGGTACGGACAGAAATGACTGGTCTGGTGAGCCTTATAATCTCAAAGTTTAATTAGAAGCCAAGTCGGTGTCCACATTTAAATTAAACAAATAATGAATGATACTGGTATCTATTTGTAATGTTCCAAAGGACTTCTGCTTTGGTATAAGCTATTTTTATTTGAAAGAGAGACATTTTAACTTTTCCCCCTACCACCGAAAGAGAGACATGCTCCATTATTATCGGCGGATAGAGAAAACACGATCGATATAATGAAATCAGAATCTGATACGAGAAAAAGCTAAACAATAATATGTGAAAGTCCAGGCACACACTCAGAGAAAGAAAAAAGTCTGTTTAACGAGAAGTAAAATGACAAGGAGAGAGAAAGAACAAAAGAACACGTTATTCTTCTTCTATAAATCTTTTTGTTGTACAAATATAGTCTATTAGTGCACGATATATACATGAAAAATCTTCTTTCAAAAGAGATACGTTCAGTAAAAGAAGATCAAGGCTAAGGGTAGGAGCGTTTTTTATTGTTGAGATTTCTCTTACAAGAATTTTCCGTTCGACTTGGAATAACACACACTTCAGCAGATAGTGCTGAACTGTCTCTGTCCTTCCACACGCACACAAAGCTGTTTGACAATGATTTTTTGTATAAATCAGCTTTTAGAGCAGAAAAATTTGCGCGAAATCTACTGTATAACACGTCGATGTCTCTCGGTATATTGTATATCCGAAAAACAGAAGGAGAACACCGATGGTGGATGAAAAGCTTTTTTTGAAAGCTTTAGTAGAAGTTTCTTTCAGAAGTTGAGGCAGCTCTGACCAAATCTGTACAGTAAATGGAAAGAAAGATCTGTCCGCCGTCACCGAATCGAGTGTGAGGTTTTGAAATGTTGCGCGTCTACGTAGATTGTATGAGATTGCCTCTCTACTTAGAATGTAGGGAGTTAGATATGTAGGCGCTTCTCTTCTAATTATTTTGTGAAATAAAATTACTTTGTGAATATCGTACAGTTTCTGTATATCAGGCCAGCCTAATATGTCTAATACTCTCTCTCTCCTAGATAAGTGATTGGCTCCAGAAACTAGAACAGCAGCCTTATACTGTAATCGCAATATAGGCTGCAAAGCCTTCTTTGTAGTACATGAGTAGATCACATCTGTATAGTTCAGTATTGTTAAAATATATGATTTGTATAACTGATCAAGAACGGGAGTGTAAAATGTGTACTTAAACTTCATCATCATACCCAAAATAGAGTTGCACTTGGAAACAATATAATTAATATGACGCTTCTAAGATAATGATGAAGTGAAATACACACCCAAGTGCTTATGTTCCTCAACTCGATCGAGAACACGACCTGCAATCATCAGCGTTCCAGGCAATGGTCTTTTAGAGGAACACATTAAAACACATTTTGATAAATGTAACGGTAATAGCCATTGAACGGACTACTGCTGAACAAGCGCAAGATCCTTGTTCAGGGTCAAGTTGACCTGATTATAACTCTTATCACTACAATAAAGTAGCATACCATCAGCAAAAAGGTGTGTTTATGAAGTCAGGTTATGTGCTATATCATCAATATAAATGAGAAACAGAAGAGGACCTAGTATACTACCTTGAGGTATGCCACAATTAATTCGGATGGATTTGACTGTTTGCCGCCAACCACTGTCGTGATATGTCGAATAAGTAAATAATCTTTAAACCACTCGACTAGCCGAGAGCAAACACCTTTCTTCCTTAGTATGTGCAGCAGTCCATTGTGCCATACCTTGTCGAAAGCTTTTTTGAAGTCTAAAAACACAACTTCAACATCTTTATCTAACGCCCTATCCTCGTAAATGGATTGTACAAGATCTACCAGTTGATGAATGGTAGAGTGTTTCTTTCGAAAACCTGACTGGAAAACCGAAAATCGACCTGTTCGTCAACAAATACTGCGTTCAACTTATTTATTAAGACGAAAAAATTCTAAAATATATATTGTCGAAGATTTAACCAAACGTACGTTGGATTTGTTTCACGCTGCACGTGATGCAGCTGGTGTATCTGAGAAAAAAATGATTGTCACTAGAAATGGTCATGTTTATCGAAAGGTATCAGATAATTCATTAAAAAAGGTAACTGTAGCTGAGATTGTAGTTACTCAACACCAGCAAAAACAACAGCAATCCCAGACCGGTCCTTCAACGTCATCTACAGGTGACGCGGATATGGTACTTAAGGACAGACTAGATGATGACCTAGTTCAGGTAATTAGTCGAGAGCAAGAACTAGCTAGTGCTTAGTTTAATACAGAACGATTAGAAGAAACTATTGCAAATTTGAATAATGATTTATTTATTTTACTTTTTATCAGCAGGGATATCAAGCTTTTTCTCTATTCTTTATCGTATATTTCTCTATATTTATTCGACAACGGGCTGTATTTGTATATGACAGAAGATCAAGATGACCTTTGCACATCTGCTTTTTTCCTACTTAACACATATACTGCTTTCCATACACTTTCATGATGACGGGCATTTATTCTCCTTCCTTGTTTACACATATTCTCTACATATTGCATATATTCTTCCTTCTTGCATCTATTTCATAACTGACGGGTCAGTAGTCGTTTTATTATTGAGATTTCTTTTCCATCCGTATGATGTCAACTAATATTACAAAAATGAGCAATAACACACACTCTATAGTATTGCTGAATATACGTCCACCATTCATTGGTAACAACGGAAAATCCTGTTGCTGTTGCGATCGTTGAATCATGGCTAGATAAAACAATAAAAGATGACGATATAAATATTTCCAATTATACTAGTCATCGATTAGATAGGAAAAAAAGAGAAGGTGGTTGTCTATTGTATATACGAAATGATGTTCTGTCTACTCGTCTTTTTGCTTTTGAAAATGCAAAATTTAAAACGATGTTTATTGCTCTCACCATTCCTGGAACAGGAAATGTTTTGATGATTTGTCTTACAGAACCGAATCGACCACTGATGTTTTTGACGAGTATATAGAGTTTATGTTTGATTCGTTGAGCAGGGCAATGCCAATTCGATCGTTTGTTGGTCTTCTGATGTTGGGTAACTTTAATGCCCACTGCAGCAAGTGGTGCGATACAAAGCCTTCAACACCCGAAGAAGAGAAACTTTTTTCCTTTCTGGGCGGCGCAGGGCTCTATTAACTAGTCAGAGAACCGACCCGTTCGGTATCCGAGACCTGTCTTGATCTAGTGATCACGAATAATTTGTGCCTTGTTGACAGTGTGAAAGTTCTGCCCTTGTTGTGCGAAACGTGCGATCATTCACCAGTATTTATCAACCTGAAAACTGCCATGCCTGTTAAACTGCATATTACTAGAAGAATATGGAACTATAAGGCTGTTGATTGGAACTATTTTCGTTATCTCTTGATGAAGGAACTCAACAACAATGTAAGTAGATTTTATAATAGCGATGTTAACACAAAATGTGAGTTGCTGTTGAGCTCTATTGATCATGTGGCGGAGGATAGCATTCCTTTCAGGTACATTGAGTTGCGTAATAGAGATCAACCGTGGTTTACCGATGATTTGAGAGAGTTATGCAGACGTAAAAATAAACTTTTGCGGCAGTGTAGATCTCTCAGCGTATCGGTAAACAACAAACAACGGTATAAAACAGCGCAGAAGCAGTTCAACGAGGCATGTTGTAAGGCAAAACAAATCATTTCGAGCGAATAAATCAAGTTAGTAGCGGAAGTAAATATTGGTGAAAACTTGTTAAGCACAACGTTCGCAGAGCTAGCACAGTGGCAATACCTGTTCTTCAGAACACTAATTCTCAATTAGTCTATGATGATCAGGAGAAGGCTCAGTTATTAAACAAACATTTTGCGTCGGTGTGTACTATGTCAATGGCAGATTATAATACCTCATTCCTACAAGCAATCTCCTAGCTGTGACTAGCACACTTCTGTCTTTTCGTGTTTCTACTGACGAAGTCGAAAAAATTTTATCACGCCTTGATATTAATAAAGCAGCCGCCCCAGGTGTTAACAATCGTCTTTTGCGTGAATCTTCATCAATTATCGCTGAAGATACTGCATCCATCTGTCGTACTTCAATATTGACGTGTACCTTTCTTGATTCTATGAAGTCAGGCTATGTCACCGCAGTGCTCATGGATGGAGATAATAAGCTGCCCAATAACTATCATCCGATTATATTGCTGCCAGCCTTATCGAAAGTCATTGAAAGAGTAGTTTATAAAAAACTTTATGAATATTTGACGGAAAACAAGCTCCTTTCGTGAGGTAATGAAGTACAGAGCTGCTATAAACATGATTAACTAATCATAACGTATTTATTTCATTGATATTTCGACAGAATCCACTGTCATCATCAGAATGAAAAAAGTGTAAATGAGTGTGTCAAATGAGTGTGTCACTAATTCACGTTATCCGACACACAATTCCGAAACCGAGCATCTGTTAAATTTAAGAACGAAATTAATACTATTTTAACTGATCTGAAGAAGAAGCTACGGTCTAAAGACTATAACCAACTAGAAAAATTTCTCTATCAACAAGCGAAATACGAAAATGATCGAGTAACAAAAATTCACGAAAAGAAGATAAAATTAATGAATCAAGGACTAACCGGACAAGAATATTCTACTATGAAAAATCGAGTTCTTCATAATCTTTCATCGTACGTCTTAAATGAAAACACGACTCACTCATGTTCCGTAAGTAATTTGCTTCATTTTAGGGGGCTCTACTTTGTGTTTACAAGTTTTAGCATCCTGTACATATACGTTTAATGCTAGAACAAACAATAATTATAATTTGGGAAGAACCATCGGTGGCCTTGTTTCCATTTGACGGAACACAGTTTGTGTTAATTCAATACCGAAACGGTGGCAAAAATGCAACATCAGCTGCTGGTCTTTCGTTAAGTGTCTTTCAAAAACAGATACATACTTTTTATGCTATTGTATTATTCCCGTCCCATTTTCGAAATTTATTAGCCTTTACTATTTCCTCAAAAACTTGCATGAAGTTCACACGTTAATATCAGGATGGAGAAGAAAGTATGAACTGTGCATGATTTATGCATGATTATTTTTAAGAGAAGTTATTTTTAGATCTTTACGGGTCTACGCTAATAAGTTTCTCAAAATCCTTACAAAAAAGCAAAAGAAATCATTCATAACCTTGGGATCGAGCTCTCTCATACAAACCATCATCGTTTACCACCAACACAGTTTATTATAACTTCTAAGAATAGAATATTTTCGTGCAAAAAACAATTTCAAATAATGATCAGAATTTTGGGTGCCTTAAAATCATTGTTAGCAGGAATGTAGTGGCCACTAGTCCAGCAAAACCGCTTTTAATTGAAAAGGAGGACGCATCGGATTTAGGTTGACTTGCTATTGTTGTTGTACTAGTGGTGATAAGTGGAGTTGTTAGGAGGATTCTTCTATAAAGTACACCCAGCAGAACGCAAGAGTTTTTAACCTTCACCCCGTCACTCCTGTTCGATAGTCACCATGAAACAACAGTAAGAACGGGAACATTTTTGACTTCCCTTTACCTACACGACTTTCTTGGGTGTTCCCTGATTATCAACGATGTTATGGTTCTGGTCGTCGTTGGCAAAAACGTTGTTATAGTGTTTGTAGTTGAGGTAGCTGACGTGGCTGTTACCGTGGTTGAGAAGGTGGTTGGAATTCCTGTAGTCGTTATTGGAGAAGTTGTAGGCTCAATGTTGTTGAGGAAGTGGTCGGAACTGAACTCGCTGGAAATAAGCCACTTTCAATTAAAATCTGTTTTACGTTATTACCAATAGTTTCATCGTTGCACATATTTTTATTACATGAATAAGCGCTATCATACTCTGTTTAAATATGTTTATATTTGATGTTGTAATCAGCATTCCTGTTGGATCAACTTGTGCTTTGGGTGAAACACATGTTCGAATTATACCACCCGATGTTTCACCGGTAAATGTCTGACAAACTCCATTTGTACATAAAACAGGTTGATTCTGTTCATTCATACATGTTAAATCGATTGCTGTTGTTGTTGAATCTGTTGTACTATCGTATAAATAATTAGTTA